CATGATATATTATGTAATTGCTATTTTAAATCATTTATATACATTTTACATTTTAGTGCCTTATTTATAGCTCAGCTGTTGTTTGTTTATATTTTACATATAAAACATATGAGAAATATTTCAAATTTTGTTCATTTCTCTTGTGTGGAATTTATTTGCATTCGACATTTTTCGCCTTAAATGAGCTGATTTATTGATTTCATTTATATGAAAGCACTTTGTAAGGTAAATCATCCTCATTAGCGGCTACAATAGGCGTTTTCTTTCGTAAGCATATTAAAAAAGAGCAATTGCCTATTTTAAAAATATTATATGAAACAACAACACTGCTGGCTTATTTAGTCCAACCTTTTTGAAATCGTTTAACTAATAAGCAGCTCAAATCACATGGTTACCAAGACTAAAAATTCGTCTATTGTGAACGTTTTTTGGAATTGTTCATGAGATTTCCTAATGAGGTGCTATAAAATTGTCGATCACTGTTTATATATATTTATATAATATATTTATATATTAAAAATAATATATATTTTTCACTGTTTTTTTTTTCTTTTATGTTCATAACTTTAATTCAAACAATTTTCCCTTTCCGACTTACTTGAAATTTCATATAAATTTCAAATTATTTCGGCATACAAATATTTATCAAATTTATAATAATCACAAGCGGGTTTTTTGATTTTATATAAAGATATTTTTTAAATAAAATTCAAGTAATATCATGTTTTCATTTTTTTAATTTAAAAAGTTTTGCTCATTAAAGCCGCTGATTTGGATAATATAACTTACTTAGCGCTTTCATATAAATGAGAACATTATAAATAAATAAACTGATTTAAGGCAAAAAATGTTGAATGCACCCATAAAAATAAATTTCACACAAGGAAAATTACCAAAATTTGAAAAATTTGTTACATGTCTTATACGTGAAGTGTAAACAAGCATGCTATTTTACATGCACAAAGCTGTAACATTGCATGTAAATTTTGACTTGCGTGTTCGTACATATGTTTTCTCGTGCGAACACATTGCATTTTGCGGTTATACTGCTTGCGAATTGACAGTTCTGTTTTGAAAACGAAATGCATAGTGAAGTTCTAATGAATTTAACGGAAAATCCGTTATAAAATTATTTTTTAATTTCAAACAACAAAAGAAGAACATAAGTCCATGATTATTATTCATCAAGGTATTAAAATAAAGAGTTTGCCAAATCTTTTGTTGAATTAGAGCAATGCCAACAAAAATTTTTTGAATTCGCCAGGATGAAAAAGGCAAGATTCCATTATATTCTGAATGGTATTCCATCTAAAGCTATCAAGTATTTTTTAACTTTTGAGAGTGCATTTCTTCAAAGCAGAAATTAATTGTTACAATACGGTAAGTGCTTAGAATACAGTACGCAACAAATTTGTAGCATATTTCAACTTATCTTAATTATATTTTACTATTATTTTATTTATTATTATTTACTATTCTATTATTTATTTATAAAAAGTTTTCACTTGAAGTAAATTGACAAGATATAATATTTTCTGTTAATTAATAATTAAAACTAATAAGTTTTTTAATTAATAATTAAGAATATGTTCGCAATAATAAAAATAGTGCATTAAATAATAATAATTACAATTCTCATAAAGTTGCTTACTAATAAAATTATTAAATCGTAATACATTTTCTAAAACTAACGTATGTTTTCAAATATATTTCCTTTTATAAAATTTGCATTGAATGAAAACAATTCACATCTTTTCATTTGCACCTTTGAGTTCGTACGACCGAATGAATTTCAAACAAAATATTTTGTTTGATCAAATTTTTACACAAAAGAGATAAATTGAGGGAAATAGTAAATTATGTCGGTATAGTAGAGAATGTTGCTATTCACCAAAATTTCGAGTAGGGTAAATTAGATAAAAATTATGTAAATTTAGTATTACCATTGTGAAAATTTTATGTTTAATAGATAATTATTTAAATATATTTAAAAAAACTTTTAAGAATAATAAATAAGTGCAATAAATAAATAAATAATTAACATAAGTAAAGTGCTAAAATCCTTAGAAAATTTCAATTTACTTTACCTCAATACACACAAACTCGCACACGGCCAAAAATTACAATATTATTACCAATAGGTGAAACCAGCAATAACCTTTTAATTATTTTTACTTTTATGAACCCTGTTTGTTTGGCACTAATTCCGCAGTTCATTTACAAAACTGTCTGTTGAAATTTCTTTAATTTTAGCGGGAAATTCATAAATAATAACACTAAATTGTTGAATACAGGCGGAATTAAAAATGCCTCCCAGAAAGCGAAAAAATGTTAAACAAACCAAAATTACTGATACGATGGGAATTAAGACAAAAAAAGCACAAACTAGTCCAAAACCAAAGGAGGATATAAGTCTGCAAGAAAAGTAAGTTAAAGTGAATTAATAATAATAAACAAATGCTAAAATAATTTATTTATTTCTGATTCAGACCCCGTGAAGAATTAAAAACTCGATCAGTCTTTCCAGTCACGATCGACGAGTTCATTGAAAATACAAACATAATCGATTTAATTAAAGATTATATTAAAGATAAATATTCAACAGCCTTAGAAACATATCTCACGGAACCAGAAATCATGAGCAGGGTAAAAAATACATATAACGTTTTTTACAAAAGACCACAACGACGATGTATGGCACCAATGAAATATGTTCGCATCACTAGTGACTGTGATGAAAATACAAAACAACGTTTGTTTAAAATTCCAGAATATTATAAACATTTGTGTGAAAATAAAGATAATGAACATCAAAGCGTAAAACAAAGTTTAAAGAAACAAGATAGTTCTCCAGATAAAAATATAAATAGGTAAATATTAAGTAGAGAAATGATTGACCATTTAGACAATAAAAAATTTATGTATGTGCATTACAGCGTTAGCGATAAAAAGATATTAGAAGAAAAGATCCTGGGACTGAAGAGGTATTTAAGTTATTTAAATAAATAAATTATTTTATTAAAACGATATTTTTTATAAATATAGCATTATATCAAATTTTGATGCTAATAACAAAGAAACAAATGAAAAAGTGTGCAACCTTCCAGTCAGTTTTGAAACGTTTAAAAGGTTCACATTTCACAATGATGTTATTGATAACATTTGCCAAAGCATAAAGGAGTTGGAGTATGAGTTGCCAATTTCAAATATATCAAAAGAAGAATTATTTGATAATAATAAATTACTTCGGAGTTACTACAAAACATTTTACATGCAAACGGTTATTCGGACAATATTTCCATTGAAAATAAAACCATGTCCGGGACGTTTAAAGGACAAACTTTTGAAATATCCAGAAATTACGTCAGATCATGAAGGTAAATAAAAATTGTTTGTCACAAACCTTACTATTAAGTAATATTTATTTTAGAGCCTACAGTAAGTAATAGAGATGCTATAAATGCTAATACGAAGGAACATTTAAATAAGAAAACAAAATTAGGAAGCATGAAAGAAGATAAAAATATGGAAAAATGTTCATTAGGTGAGTTACACTTAATTAATTAATTGTATTACTTAGCACTAAAAAATCTAAAATTTTCCAGCATTAGAAATTAAGGCACCGGAAGATAATGCTGTCGAGAAATCTCTATTACATCACCAAAAACAGAATATGCCAAAGACTTTATCACCAACACCATGTCGAGCACAAATGAAGGCAAAACCCTTGACATTTCCGAACAAAATTTTTAATGTTGATTCCGGTAACGGTTAATCAAAACTTTTTTTGAAAAAATTTCAGGCTTTAAAAAAAAATTTATTCTAGACTCCACGACAAGTAATGATAATGACGAAATTTTTGAAGGCAGTGCAAATGTAACGGTGGTGGAACGAATTGATCAGGGTAAGGAGAATAAATGTTCTTTTTGTGATTTACCTTACTTAACTGATAAGTTTGATTGTATTTTTTGATTTGATTGTATTAAATTTTAATTATTTTCAAAACATTTATATTTTAGATAATGCTGTCGAGAAATCTATGATACATCAACAAAATCAGAAGACACCAAAGTCAAAAGTCTTGCCGTTTCCAAACAAAAATGTTGGTTCCGATAATGGTAAATTAAAAATTTATTTGATTTATTTGAAATTTTTTGTTATTAACGACTTTATATTGCAGATTCAACGAACAGTGATGAGAATGAAGAAGATATTATAAATGTACCAGTGGTAAAACCTATCGGCAACAAAACTAAATTAAATCAATGTAATAATATTATTTTAAGTTTTGGTTTATTTTTTATTTAATTGTATTTTATTAATTTTGTACTAAAAACAATTATATTTTCAGCCAATGAGAATGCTAATCAACACGTAACAAATCTTCAAAAAGAAACAAAAACTCCGGAATCAAGTCCACTCATAAATGTTTCCTTGCAGACACGAGATACCCTTGACGAGAGTAAACAAAAAAGGTATGAATGTTTTAATGTTTTATATTAAATTTAAACTGAGAATTTTTTATTTCTTTTTTTTTTTTTTTAAACTTATACATTTATTTATTGTATCTTTTCCTTTTAAAATCTTATCACAAATTACATAATATTACAAATTTTTGTTTTAACTATACATTGTATAAAATAAAATAAGTAAACGAACCTCTCTTAGCACAATGGGTTAGATTTCATTTGAGTGAATGTTAAGTGGTGTATCAAGGAAGCAGTTCAACTTTATCAGATTACTTAAAAGAAAGGTACGGTTATTACTTCAAGCTATTAAATATTAATTAATGGCTGGACGGTCAGCTCTTTTTAGGCAGAAAGTAGATAGATGTGCGAGATTTCTTGCTAGGAGAATAACATTTTC